CCCCCCCCCCCCTCCATGTTGCCGGATTCTTCTATTCTGGTTATAAAATCACAGAATGGTTGATGTTGAAACGGACCTCTGGGGGTCATCTGGCCCAACTCCTCAGCTCATGCAAGATCACCTTGAGCAGGCTGCCCAGGATCATGTCCAGATGACTTCTGAATATCTCCAAGGATGAAGACTCCATGACCTCTCTGGCCAACCTGTGCCAGTGTTCAGTCACCCTCACAGTAAAAAAAGTTTTTCCTTGTGTTCAGGTAAAACCTCCCATGTTTCAATTTTTGCCATGGCTTTTTGTCCTGTCACTGAACACCAGTGAAAAGAGCCTGGCTTCCTCTACTTTGCACCCTCACTTCAGGCATTTATACACATTGAGGAGATCCCTCTGGGCTTCCTTTTCTCCAGGGTAAACATTCCCAGCTCTCTTAGCCTCTGCTCATATGAAAGATGCTCCAATCCCTTAAACATCTTTGTGGTTGTTTGATGGAGTCTCTCCAGTAGCTCCATATCTCTCCTGTACTGAGGAGCCCAGAAATGGAGACAGATCTCCAGGTGTGGCCTCACCAGTGCTGAGCAGAAAGGAAGGATCAACTCCCTTGACCTGATGCAGCCCAGGATACCATTAGCCTTGTTTACTACAAAGGCACACTGCTGGCTCATGTTCAATTTAGCGCCACCACGCTGATGTCCTTTTCCTGCAAAGGTGTTTTCCAGCTGGTCAGCCTCCACCATGAACTGCTGCACTGGGTTATTCCTCCTCAGGTGCAGGACTTTGCTCTTGCCCTGGTTGAATTTTATGGGGTTCCTGCCAGCCAATTTCTCTAGCCTGTCAAGGTCCCTCTGAACAGCAACACAACCCTCTGGTGCATCAGCCACTCCTCATAGTTTTGTATCAGAGTACTTGCCGAGTGTATATTCTACTCCACTATCCTGATTATTAATGAAGATGTTGAGCAGGACTCATATCACTGATCACTAGGCTCTGGGCCAGGCCACTCAGCCAGTTTTCAATCCACCTCAGTGTTTGCTAATCCAGCCCATACTCCATTAGTTTTTTTATGAAAATACACTGCCAAAGGCCTTATTGAAATCAAGGCAGACAATATTCACTGTTCTCCCCTCATCTACCAAGCCAGTCATGGTATCACAGAAGGCTATCAGGTTGGCTAAGAATGACTTCCCCTCAGTGAACCTATGCTGACTGACCAACATTTTGTCCTTCATGTGCTTGGAAGTTGCTTTCAGGATTAGTTGTTTCACCATATTTCCAGGGACTGAGGTAAGTCTGAGCAGCCTTTAGTTCCATGAGTCCTCCTTCCTACCATTTCTGAAGATAGAAGTGACACTTGCTTTCCTCCAGTTCTCAGGCACCTTTTCCAATTGCCATGATTGTTCAAAAATTACTGAGTGGCCTCAACATGACATCACAGCCAGGTCCCTCAGTATTCGTGAGTGCATCCCATCAAGCTCCATGGATGTACACATCATTTGCTTAAGTGTTCCCTGACTTGATCCTCTTCCACCAAGGGTATATTTTCCTTGCTCCAGACTTTCCCCTTGTCTCTGGGCCTGGGATTTCCAAAGGCTGTTCACGATCACAACTTTCTTCTTCCATGTACCTCAAAATGAAGAGTCTTTCTCTGTGTTCCTGATAACCTTCTCAGAGGTGTTAGAAGGATGCTGTTAGGTGTCCTGTAAGCCCTCTTGTCTCCAGATCAAGCAAGCCAAGGCTCTTCAGCCACTCCTTATAGGGTGGCTATCTGCTGGACTCAGTCAAATTTATTAGTATCTTTATTGTACTATAGAGCCCAGAACTGTTCTTATGAGAGCCAAGTAACAGGAAATAACTACTTCCCTCAACCTACTGGCTGTGTTACTACTACAGCTCAGGATGATGAGCCTTCACTGATGACTCCTATTTAGCTTGCTGTTCACTAGGATCCCAGTTCAAGAGAGGTGTTACAGCCTGGGGACAACTGACTACAATTACAGGGTGTTATTCCGTGGTGTATTCTTTGGCTGGGGCAACAGTCCCAAAGTAGCCACCTGTGCACTTCCCTTGAAGTTACCAAATGAGCAAAGTTTGCTTAGCAATACACCTTCCTGGCTAACAATTCATATAAGTATGCATTTGATAAATGTTGCTCTTTGGTGGCTGCTGCAGTAAACTATGGCTGCAACCACTGCCTGCTTAACTTGCCTCAGCTGGAAAGTAGAGAAAGGAACTGGCTTTTTCAAACACTGGCAAACCATTTGGTTTGGTGACTGCCAAGGGCATTATATCATTTCTGCACTGGCAAACACAGATGCTCACAGGTAATATGCACAAACACAAGGCACAGAGGGAGAAGAATACAGCAGGAATAGTCTTTACTTGGATATAAAAGAGTCTCTTCTCTGCACAGATTTTGTTCTTATGACCAGATTACCTTCATGTGAAAGTAAAGATTCTCCTTGAAGTTTAGTTGCTTCCAAGTATGTCTGCAACGGTTTATAATTCTCAGAAGAAATTCTAATTACACTTGAAACATTAATCCCAAGATCAGACATCACAGGCAACAGTTGAGGGTTGTGGAAATCCAAAATTATAAAGTAATGATGGGCACCATCATCTGGTTCATCATCTGTTCAAAACACAACAAAACCAGATTAGAGCAAAGACATTCAACAGCTAAACAAGATTTTCTTCTTGATTGTATAGGGATGCTGCAAATTAAAGTCAGAGAAACAGTCCTTTTATAACTTCATTGGGATAATTACAAGTTTCAAAACATTATGTGCATTAGACTGAAGTCTTCTGTAGGAAACCACCTAGAACTAAGCAGGAAGAATACAAGTCAGAAGTAATAATTGCTTGAAAAATCAGCAAAGAAAAACTGGAGAAGCTGATTATAACCAGAATGCTAGCTGTAGCAACATTTCTGTAATTGCTTCTTTTTAAGGAGTTAGTGTTAGTGTCAGGACATATTCACATGTTCTAATCATAGTTTAAGATGTCCTATTTCATCCTGCATAAAACTGGCCAGGGAGCACACACAAAGTTACTGTGTTTTAGATGAGAGATTACATTAGCTGTAATAATTCTGAAGGATTAAGCTGCAGGTATGACCTGACTCACTGCTGACTGCTCCCTGCCCAACAGGTTCATGTTTGCTAGATGGACTCCCTGTCAAAATCCTCATCAGCTGGTAATACCAGCTCCCCCTAGCCCTTTCAGTTGGCAAGGGGCCTATCCAAATTCATCCTAAAGTGCAGATAAGACATTTCATTGAGTGCCTGCCTTATGGTCTTATTAGTTCTGTAGAAATATGCATAGCAATATTTCAGAACCAAAGCAAAAGGTTAAGCATTATGTAAGGAAAAACGAGTCCTCCAGAAGCTTGACTCTAGTCTAAGTTAATTGTATAGACCCCCCTCTACAGCCCATAGAGAAATGCAGGTAATACAAGGAGAAAGACACCTTTGGATACTGACACAAATGCATTTAATTACTCTGAAATCTTTCTGTAGAAAGGTTTTCTGTAGGATTTTTTTAGCCATCTTCTTTTAGTCTTAAACATGCTAAAATGTTGACATGCTACATATACCACATTTGTATTTTATTTCTTGGCTTGTACAATCCTAATACTGAACAGAACACAGTGCCCTCTTCAAATGCAAAGTGGCAATGCCTTAATATTGCCAAATAGATCTTGGCTTTTCAACATGGAACAAAACAAAGTACTCTGAAGCTAGGTTGCAAGATTTCTAGCAAGATTACCAGGAGTATATCTGCTTTTTTTTACATACTAATGTATTTGTCTTCCTCTTCCACTTCTCCCCGTCGCTTCAGTTGGGTGTCCTTTTTAACAATGACTGGTACTAGAGGGCCTCCTTCCATCTTTTTTCCTTTCTTCTCTTTCTCGGCTGTTGTAGTACTATGGGTGTTCTTCTTGTCAGGGGTTTTAGCTTTCTCTTTCCCTCCATATTTTTCCTTTTGTTGCTCCTCTTCGGCCTGACAGATAAATAAACTAGGTTCTCATTGTAGCCTTTATGCTGAACAAAGGGTAGACTGCTGTAAAATTTTAGTAGGGTTTTTTTTTTTTATTTGAATACATTTCCCTTTCAGCCACTATAATGTTGATGTGGCAAAGCTGTTTTGAACACTCTGCTTTATCCTTCTCAAACACACCATTCAGTTTATTATATTCTTATAAATCATAGTGTTAAGACTTCACATTAAAAAGGAACTTTGAGAGGTAGGTAGACATTATATCTACAAAACTAACGAAATGCATACTGGTAGAAAGACGAGTAAAGAATCCCTGTGTTTCAGTTACTAACCACTACAGCACTTGCATCAGCCAGAAACCTTCACTGGACTGAAGGAAAATAAGACAAAAATTCAATTTCTATTAAGTCTTTAGCATCTCTGTTAGCACTCTTGCGTACGGTGTAAAATGGTACCAGCACTATTTTTCTTTGATGTAAATATCTGTCTACTATAAACTTAACCAGGAGTCTTGTGCTCATTTCACACAGGATATTACTCAGCCATTCTCATTATTTTCAAACAAAAACACCTACATTAAGTCCTGCTCAGTAATTTAAAAGTAAAGAATGAAAAAAGATTTTGTAAGTATCCCAAAGCCTCACACTATAAATCCAGAAAGCTCAGAGCCAGTATAAAATTAAAATAATCCAAACTCTATTAAGGTAAAGCAAGGTGCTATAAGAGCAGGAAAGCCTCCACATTATTTTTACCCAGCAGCAGTACTATGCACTAACTATGCAAGAATGACATTTAAGGATTGTAAAGCTAAATTAAATACAATAAAATGATATTAACTAAACTTACTGTTACCATCCTCCTGGTGTCACTTTAAAGGCTATTAAAGCAAGGAGAAAAGCTCTCCATGCAAATGAGACAAGGCAGTTGACTCTGTAGAGTTGCTTTCCCTATATCCAGCTGGAAAAGTAGACTTCCCAGCTGTTAGAAGTTGTGTTTAGTAAAAATTCCAAACCAAGCAGAAAATCTTTTCCTGCTTTTCCCTTCATCATACCTTCCCTTTCTGTAAAATTTAGAAGCAACTTAAAGAGAGTCGTAAAACTATTTGTGCTGTGAAATGGGAGAATTGGATGTTTTCATTATTTTATTTCAAAGTTATTTATCTTTGGACATTTCAAACCAAAGATTTTCATAGTACTAACTCTGAATTCTAAGCTGATGAACACATCAAAACAGATGATACAATCATCAGGCTACAAAATTCACAACAAGCTTTATCTATTGCATCTGCATCATTTTATGTAAATAAGTCTCAGGTAAGCAGAGACATTTCTGAATTTGCCAAGATTCCAATGAAGAAGACTAGTTGACCTTAATACCTCGGGAAGTAAAAGCCTCTCCTTCCTAGAATTTTCATTTTCCTTTCAGTGTCATATTTCTCTTTCCCTACAAGGTACAGCTTTCTGTGGAGTTTCTAATCTTCCATTAGCTTTACGTTCTGTAATTCTGTTATTTTAAAGCTTCATGTTACAGAATCTTACTACCTCAGTTTTCTAATTCAGACATATTTGTCGTCTTCATATTAATTTAAATGCATACACCTGTCAATTTAGGACAAGTTCTGCTCCTAATGAACTACAGAAATTTCATAATTATTTATTTTTGTTTATTCACTTGCTCTTTTTCTTCTGCCAATACATTGTATTAACCAGTGTCTATTCTAAAAAACGACAGTTACATGGGCTTTCTGAGAACTGATCTGCTAGTAAAATCCTGGTTTCAACACCTGAGTTGTTGGCAATCAAACTTGTACTGTACAAACTAGTTGGAAAGTATTAAAAATGTTATGGCAGACAATTTTAGAATTAGAATTCTAAACTAAAAGCCAGTTTCTGCCTGTTCTGTACTGCAGAGCATCTTCATAACCAAAAGCTTTCCCAAATCTTGACTCTGTCTTTGTCCTTCAGCTGCTGCTCTCATATTTGCCTGTCATGCTTTGATGTTGATATAATCGAGAGAAGGTGACAACTTAGTCCAGAGTTCTTGGCTAAAACAGAGCAGAAATAGAGATTCTTCAACCTTCCATATTGACCATCTTCAGATTCTTCAGGGAAATAAAATTATAGTTATAAGAGTAACCTCACCAAATCAAAGCTAAAGGCTCCATGTGAATATTGAAGGGCCTAATCTTTAAACTTCAAATTCTTGTTTTACAATTTACTTATCAGCACTGACATATCTAAGAGAAAAGCCATTTTTTCTCCAGTCACTATAAAACATCTGCTCTGTAGCTTCAGCCTTTCAATTTCCTTTCAGGTTGAAAAAGCAATTTTTTCCCCTAAGATTCTTCATGTATTTCTGTGGCTTATGTTATCATTTGCTAATCAGTTTTGTAGCTGACTTCTATGGGAAGAGGATACAACTTTAATTTACTACCTAGCATTTAATGCTCTCGTGCTTGTGTGCTATACTTCATCTACCAATTATTCCCACAAATAAAATTATTGATAAAGAAATTTACAGACTTTTCAACTACAAGAAATCCATGAAACTGTCCTCTTCTAGTTTCTTTTACATGCATAGACTGCTTAGATCTTCATGCCATCATGTCCTGCCTTATAGTTTTTGATCAACTAACAGGGTAAGTTATTGCAGCAATTATATGGCTTTCTGACAATGGTTTTCAGCTGCACATACATTTGCTGGAAAAGAACTATAGCAAAGACCAACTATTCAGTAAGTTGCTGAAATGTACCACTGATGACAACTTTTTTTTTAATTACAGATGTTAGAGAGCAAGTTCTGATCTGATTGTGATTCTGTGCAAGCTTGGTGAAATTATTCCTAGCAATCTGACCGAGGCAATCTTGGAGAATATGTGGAAGTGAGTTTTGGGAACACTCAAAAATGTAGTACTCAGTTCTGAAAAGCAGACTTCGAGATATGAACTATTTGGAGATAGTTCAGAGTAGAGGAACAAGCATAATTAAAAACTAGAAGCCATAGCATATATTTGAGTTTGTTTAGTTAAATATATAATAGATTTCTGTAGAATGGAGGGTAAGAACTGTTGTCCCACACACAGTGAGAAGTAAAGCAGTTTAACTTAAAGCCGTATTGATAAAGTTAAAAAACTTTTCCAAATGGCTACGTTGCAGAGATAGTTGAGCAGTAATACTGGTTGCCGCAGAAAAGCGGAAGTACAGCAACATAAGGTTTTACGCAGAGGTTCAAAAAACATCTGCCAGGAACAGTTCATGTAAATTATATCCTGCCGTAGTGCCAGAGGATGGAATCGATAACTTCTCCAAATTTCCTCCAGAGAGGTGATTCATGGTAATAACTTCTTCCCAGTGCTGCTCTGCATCTATCCTTGATACCTCTCCTACCTTTACTTCAGCAGAGATATATTCAGGTGAAGCAAGTTTCTAGCTCTATTTCCTATTGGTCCCAAGACTCAGCTAAGACATTACTACTACTCACTCTAGCAAACAGTTCTTGCACAATATTTTTTATTTTATTTTTTCTTTCCCTGTCTCACCTGCATTTGAGTAATTGAGAATTTCTTCCCCAAAATCTAACTCAAAAGATAAATTTCTATTCGCAGTTCTTTTCAATTACATATCTAGGAAGTCAAGCATGAGGAGAAAGATAAATTTATGTAAACAACACTAGAAAAGAAGTGTCTTCACAAAGTTAAACATCCTCCCCAAGGTATACTGTAGTACCTTCTTTTCAGCTTCTCTTCTCTGAAGGTCCTTCTGTTTGAGACAAAGCAGTTCAAATTTCAACAGCTTTCCAGTTAGTGTTACAGGAATTTCTTCACCACTATCCAGAATGGCTTTGGCTACTTCTATCACCTGCAGATGAAAAAAAAGACAAAATTAACTACTGTATACTTTTAATATTGCATTTGACATATTTTGCATGCTGAAATGAGGAAGGGCTATCTCACATTGTACAATGCATGGGTCAAAAAGGCCACACTTTCAGAAAAATAACATATCAGTAAGACGAATAGCTATTCTTTGGTTCTTAAGACCTCTAATGAAGTTATATCTGCTGTAGTATGAGATAAAACTATAATGGAGAAAATTTCTATGATTTATGTAAAGGTCAACAGACACACAATTCTCAGAGTAAAATGTCATTTTTTTAGGTTTTAAACAAAGAAGCAATATTAAACAACTACTTATTATAAAGTAATAAATTTAAAAGCATTTAACAGATAGCAAATCAAGGGGAATAGTTTGGAGTCCTGTTTACAAAGTGACTAGCGTCTGAGGCACCAGCCCTGAATGAAAGATAAAAACTACTTGAAGGGAATCTGAGAGGGTCTCTCCCGGTGAAAATATACCCCCCTCCCTGTGTAATTCTGATTCTGTTGGTATGCAGCCTAATTGGGGTGAAATAAGGCTATTGAGTTTTCTTAGGGTGATGACAGCAGCGGGAACATACAGCTGCATTGTCCAGATGTGTGGCATTGACAGGCTGTTTTATGACTATGTTTTTTACAGCTTGTTTCCACTAAAATTCATACAACTCACTAACATCTGGGCCATTTTCCTTGGAGCCTCATAACCACTTTATTTACTGCGAAAAAAATAAAATAACATAAAAATACCATAAAAAGTTGTTATATGTTTCTTTTCACTTGTGTTGTCTCTGTAATAAAGTTCACCTATGTAGGAAGGGATGTTGAGGAATAATATAACCATAATATTTTCCTACTTTTGTTTTTAAGCAACCATCAGCTTTATTTATAACCATGGACTGAATTAGGTGTTACTCAAATATTCTGACATGTTTCTCTTTTCCCTTCTTGGAGCAATTACAGTTGGGCACATATGGTGTCAATTTTGCTTGCTAACATTCAGACAATGAAGGTGTACATTGCATCTCACTGAACTGTGTCTTGTCTAATGCAAACACCACCATTAGCTTTGAGCTTTCATAGCTTCTTGGCTAGCTTAGAAATTTTTCACTTCTCAAGTAAAACCTAGGTAAGCAAACATAGCCACTAAAAATGCTTCTCTGAATCAAGGCAAAATGAATCCAGACTATTATATGCCAAATCACTGTTTCATACAAATGAAAGCAAAGTGCAGAAAAAGTAATCTCTTAAAATTCAGATTTTTCTGAATTGCATAACAGGGAGACAAAACCACCAAAATATTTGCATTTATAAATCCTCCCAAAACAAACCTGCCCCTCCAACACTAATAAACCTGATGATCTTAACATACACAGAGGAAAATACATCATGGTTAAACTCACTTCTACTCTGCATCTTTCATATTCAGACTAAGATTACTTACTGGTCACTATCTCAACAAGCCATCCATAGGTGGCTTCCGTAAAGACCCCCATTGACTTCAGAGTCACAGCAGAAAATCAAGGGTATGATACGAACAGACTTAAAAATTCCCAAAGATTGTAGGCACACTAGAAACTACTAGCTATTCCAACAAAAAATAGTCACCCAGAGCTAGCTACACAAACCTGCCCTCTGAAAGACAGAGACTTAGGTAGAAATATCAAAGTAATTTCCCTTAGAGAGAAAAATTGTCTCTTTTTTTTTTTTTTTTTTTTTTTTTTTAGAAGTGGTATTAACAGCCTATGGAAGGGATGCTTCACAATTGTCTAATTAGACAAGTTGCACATTTCTTGAAACACAATAGAGGGAAAACAGAGGGATTCTGGAAGGATTCCTGAGAAGCATATACATAGTAACCTGGCTTGATGGCAGCTGCTGATTTATTGTTCATGGAAGGAGGAAGGAACGTTTAGGCCCTTTTACAACCCATTCTTCCTGAGAAGTTCAAAGCATTTTACCAGTCAAAAGCAATGCATCATGACTATTCCTATTTTGTAGGAAGAGAATGCAGAAATGAAGAGACTTGTCCAAAGTCTATAGTGAGCTGGACAACTCTGAGTGGGTGGGAAGGACAAATTTTCTTACATGAGGCATTAGAGAGGCATACACCAAACTATTTAACAGGAGTACATTCCATGACTGCAGAGAGAGGTCAGACAAATAAGACACGACAAAATGAGCACACATTTGGTAATACAAAGAAAGCAAGTAAGTTTTTTATACAGCAATGTAAAATCTGTTTTATGCATAAGCAAATAAAAAGCAATCCTTCATCGCTGCTAGATCTATCCATGCACTGTAAATAAAAGAAATTTAGTACATTTATGCATGTTTACTTCATCTGTGGTCCTGTGAATTATGAAGGCACCTGGCATAAACAGTTAAGAACCCAGAGAGCCTCAATAAAAAAAAAGCTGAAGACAAAGACTTGGTAGGAGTACAGAGGGAATTTTTTCGGATACTACAAAGCAGATTCATTTCAGATTGGCTATACTTCATCCCGCCAGTGATGACCTTTTACTTGTGTGAGAAACCATGGAAACTTGGATGGACAAACTCAGTTAGGTAGGGCCTCTTTTCCTTTAAAGGAAGAGGAAACTTAGCATTCCTCACACAGCAGGGGTCACATTTGTGAAGTGCAGAAAGGCTTCAGTGGTGTAGTATTTGATCTCATATGGTGGCAGCATAAACCACGCAGAGATTTAGCTGCCTGGTGCAAAGGTGCATAGATTTCAAGCCATTCAAACACTGCATGAGTGCTTGTAAGCAACACTACACTATTGGCAGATGCTAGCACCGGATAGGAGACAGGTCTCAAAAGTTGGGGAAACACTGAAAGCCAAAGTCTTTATGGTATCCTTTGAAATGCCTCCTTTTCAATATAAACACCGTGGCTGCTAAATCATAATAGCTTTCAAAGTGATAAATTGCATTACCAACTTTCACAGCTTTATCACTACTTGGAAACAGTAACATCACTGGCTATGACCAGTGGTCAGCCCACTTCATAGTGCAGTTCTCCCACATCCAGGGTGAGCTTTCTAAAGCCCTGTCTTCCCTCTTGTTCTTGAAACAATAAGTAGTGCAGGCCACCACATATATCTCTCTCTCATAACACTTTCTAAAAGAAACATAATGGTTCCTAGAAGAACTTCTCAGTAATTCAAATTCCTTAGTAACTGACATAGTTCAAGTCAATTTGAAGCAGAAGAGCTATCAGTCAAGAGGCTATACGTACCAACCAAGTTGTTATTTACTGTTCAAATGTACTTTCCTGAGCAAGCAGGAAAGCAGGGGGGAAAAAAAGTGATTTTCACTTATTACAATCTGCCATCAGTATCATGAATCCCTCACGAGCAGCTTTCAAGACAGACTAGGGAACAAAAGCTGCATGTGTCATACCGACAAATTTCTTTTGTCCAAAGCAGACTTTACACATACTATTAAATATTTCTGAATCTGGTTTCATTTCACTGACCATAGCATATAGATCAATTATTTTGAAAGAATACCAGGCAGGCACTGATTTACCTGAAACAACTTATTTCAGATCACACTTGCCGTGTGTTGAAAGGCCATTTAGTCTCCACTATCAGACCATTCACCTACTTTGATTTGTCCTCTCAGAACCTCTTCCCAACTATGATGTCAAAAGATCACTTACTTAATCATTATCCTTCACTGGTGAATCAATGACTCACAATCTGAATTGAGCTTAAGGACTCATGTAAATCAGTTGCATATCTGAACAGAGCTCCATACAGAACTTACATACCCAACAAAGTAGACTGTAAAACTTAAGCTAAGTCAGTGAATCATCTTCATTAATCAGTGAAGACTACCAACATGTAATTCAGAGAACTAAAAATTAAAGTGAATTTGATGACGACTCCTGCCCTTCAGAGTCCTTTTTGAACAAACCCACTAAAAGAAGAATAGGACACTTTCACTATTGAGCAGCACTGAGCAATTACATATATTGTTTATGTAGTAAATAATTGCTTTTCAATTGTGAGAACATTTCTGAAAGCAGCAGCAATGGCTGCTTGTGCCCTAGAAAAATGTCTTGGTGCTCATACAAGCGAGTCTGTTTTTTTGCCAAAGCACAACACACCATGATCTGGTCAGCAGAAACCTATTTAGAAATATCCATTGCAAGAACATTTGCTCTTTAAACCTCTCTCTACAGAAAATGTGCAACCTGGGGGCATACCTTAACTGGTTTAATCTCAGCAATACAGAATGAGAACTTTCTAAGACCTGTGTTCAGCATATGTGTCTTGGTGTTACAAGTACTTAAATGCTTTAAGGGAAATACAAACAGGGGAATAACCCAATTTAAGTAAAAATAAAAAAATACATTGTTGTGGTTTAAGCCCTGCCGGGACCGGAGAGCATGTTGCCGTTGCTCCTCCTCCACCCTCAGCCGGTCAGGCTGGAAGTATAGGCACAAACCCGGGCTGAAATAAGATGATTTAATACAACAGTGTGATAAAAAAATCTGAACAACAGTAGTAGCAATGATAACAACAACAAACAGCAATAACAACGAACTAGACAAACGATATACAGAGTAATACCGCAAAATGGTCACGGAACAAAGCCGATGCATGGGTCCCGCCACCAAAAAGCCAAAGAGAAAGTAAAATCAAAGTTTCCCACCCCTGGACCTGACACCAGCACAGTATGAATAACCCGGCTGGAGATCCCTTCCCTCTGTCTCTCTGCTGGGGAAACTTAACCCTGCCCTAGTTGAACAAGGACATAATCCACCCCTTTATTCTATACCATCTGCGTCATGTCCAGCTGCCATTTAGCAGTTAACAATAACAAAACAATTTACAAAGGCACAGCATAATTTACAGCATGTTCTCACCCAGAATCAAGTCCCCCTGTGGTACACATCACCCACCAGGTGCACCCAGGTCCTTGGGCAAAAGCAATCCTGTGGATAGGTTTGCCTTTGCCTTGCGCAGGACTAAA